CATGGCGCACACTGCCGCTCGCACACTTGTTGAGGAAACAGCTCTGCGCGCAGGCACCGGCGGACCCTGGCACAGACACACAGCAGGGCGGCGCGGACCCTTGGCGCAGACAGGCAGACACAGACCCAGGACGGCCAAACGGGGCACACAACAGCTTGCACTCACAGCACAGGCGTTCGGCACAGAGACACAGCCCAAGCGTAATGTAGATACACAACAGACAGTGCACAGCGCACAGACACAGGTCAGAACACACCGCAGCATGTACAGGACACACACCACAAAGAGAAGTACTGTACACACCAGCCATAGGCATAGATACACAAGGAGGAACACACTGTACACAACAGAGACACAACAGAACATGCATGTAAGGTAGACGGACATAACACATAAAGCCACAACGCAAGAACAACACAGGCGGGCAAGAGACGCAAGTTTTCCTGAAAAGGGGGCATTCAGATAGGTTGTGGAAATAGGTTGGTGGGTGTGCCAGGTGGAGGGAATTTAGTGGGCTAACAATGGAATTTTTAAAATATGGGTTAAGAATATCAAAAGGCAATTCACAAAAGAGGAAACCTACATGGCCGAAAAATAGCCCCAAACAACAAACTGCATAGACAGTGCACAGCAATACATGGTACAATCGCAAATATATGCCACACGCATAACACGTCATGTAAATAAAGGGCACACAATGAAAGATAACATGCACAAAGTCATAGGAATGGCAGATAGAGGCAGTGGGCAGAGCTCCAATCACAGGGTCCCTGCCCTGGGGAGAAAAGGCAGACATGGTCTCACCCAGACTCACTCTTGGGGGAAGGGGGGAAAAACGCTTACCAATAACCCCACCCCCATCCTTGTCCTCAGTCCACCGCGCCCACTTCTGTGGCTACCATCCCACTCTGCAGACACCCCCACCAGACAGGGATGTGTCCTTTCATGGGTGTGGCCTGTGGCCAGCACCTTCCCCCAGAGCCTTCCCTATTCACTGTCAGTTGCTCAGTCTGGGCCCTCTGCCTCCTGGCCTTGGAGCATGATCTGTGCTGCCCCCCACCTCACCTTCTCAGCAGAGATCCAGGAATCCTCTCACCTCCTTCCTCATTTCCTTCCGCTCCTTGATCCTCCTGCTCTCACCTGCCTCACTGCCCCGTTCTGGATCCTGGGCCTCAGCAGAACCTAGCACTGCTGAGCACCTGCCTGAACCTGGAAGGAAAGCTTGGGAGCAGCCTCATGGCACAAAATCTCCCAATCCTGGAGAGCACATTTTCAAGTCCCAAAGGAGCCCTAGGATTGTGCTACTTAACCATGTTCTGCTCAGAGAACGTGTGTCCAACGCTGGTAGGGTTGATGATGGGAGCAGAACACTCGCACTAGCTTCTAAGCTGGCTGGGTCTGCCTTCAGGATGCTGGGGGACAGAGATGACAGAGGGAAGTGCTCACCTCTGAGGCTATAGGCCAGCTGCACCCACTACTGGCCATGGGAGCCTAAGTGTGTCACTTCAACTCTTTTTTTTTTTTTAAACAATTCTTGCTCCCGAGACTTTAACTCTTAAGCCTCCGTGTCCTCACCTAAATAGAGTTCTTGGGAAGGTTAGAGTTAATATATGCAAAGCCCCTGGTGCCTGGTGGGTGTGCAGTAAGTGATCATTGTATTAATACTTTCTTAAGAAATTCTGTATTCAGAATCTTGATGGCCCCACTGTGTGGGACTAGAGCACGGGGATGGGAGACACACAGGTGGATGGGAGACAAGGGACTGGCAATCTCGTGGAGGAGGTGGTGTTGATGCATAAATAAATAAGGGGATTGTGCTGTGAGCTGCACATGGAATTGAATTGTCCTGGCTTCAAGTCCAGCTCTGCCTCTGAGCCAGGACGGGGTCTTGGGTTAGCTAGACCCTCCTACACCATGTTTCTTTGTTTAAAAGAGGGTAATAATACTACCCATCTCGTGGGGCTGTCGCATAAATGCTCAAATAAGACAATGAAGGAGCACATGCTTTTGTAAACTAAAAAGTTTGATACCAAAATAAGAAGTTAAAACACTACCGAACAGGAAATTATAAATGCCACGAGAAAGGTACAGTGTCACCAGTGATTGTTTAGAGGCAACTCTAACTTTGAATTGAGGAAAGAGAATAAGTTTCCC